TTTATAAATAACCCACCACACACAATTGTTTAATTATTCTTTTAAAAAAAAAAAGAATATTATTAAAATCTTATATATTATTTTTTTTTTTAAAATAGAACACCACCACTTACTACTACTAATGCCTATGGGGGAAAACCCCCTTTTACTTTCATTAAACGCACTTATATTTTAATGGCAAATATAAAACACACAGATTTTGAAAATAAAAAGAAAATTTTAAAACACACAAACGAATATTTTTTTTATTTTTATTTTTATTATTAATAAAGTTATTATTTTTTACTGTGAGAATATAAATATATGTGGCATATATAGTTTATTTATTTAAAAAAATATATCTTTTGGAAAAACAAACAAAACAAACTAAAAAAACAATTATTATAATTAAATTTAAATTAAAACAAATAATAAAATAGATAAAAGATATATGATAGATTTAACAATAATTAACAGTATAAATAATAATAAATGGTTTTATATTTGTTAAAAGTTCTTTTTACTATTGTATAAAGAGCTTTTGCTGTTAATTATTTTAAGTTTATTATAAATGTTGATATCTATAAAATTATTTCCTTTATTATGATTATTTTTTGAATAATGATGATTAAATTTTATTTTATTTTATTGTGAAATATTGAATTCTTTAATTTAATTTTAATTTTATGAAAAAAAAAAATTAAAAAAAAAAAAAAAAAAAAAAGAAAAAAGAAAATAAAAGAAAAAACATACATATACATAATAATAGTTTTTTGATATTATTTGTTTAATTTGAATTTTAATTGATGTAAATAATAATAATAATAATAATAATATAATAAAAAGTTTAATAATAAACTTATTTTTTTTATTTTTTTTTTTTTAAAAAATTATTATAATAAAATAAAATTAATGAAAAAAAAAATTATTTTTAAAAAAAAAAAAAAAATATTTTACATTTATCTGAATAAATTATTTTGATTACTAAAATTATTTCATTAATTATATAATAATAGTTTTATTTATAATTAAACAAATTGGGTGTCAAAACAAAGAAGTATAATAACAACCACACAATTCACACACAATATTAATAATAGATACACACAAAACCACACACCCATTAATAACACACACATCGACCTACCTTTTAATAATAAAATTAATTAATCCTAATTAATCCAATTGTAATTGTTAATTTTATAATAATAATTTTGATTGATTTGTTTATTATAAAACTTTAAACTTATATCTTTTAATTTTGAATTTGTGTAAATATATTAAATAAAATGTGTGTTGAAAGTGATGGTGATAATTAATTAAAAATATAAATTATTAATTGATAGGTTTCTATTTTTTTATAAATATTTTTATTATTTATTTTACTATTTTAATATTTTATTATATTATTGTATTATTATATTTTACAATTGTTTCTTTCTAAAGAAGGATTTAAGGTTTATTAAAAAAAAATTAAATAAAAATATTAAGATAAAAAAAAAAAAATAAAAAAAAAATAAAATAAAATAAAATAGAAAAAAAAATTACAACGCGATTGTTATCATTATTTGAAAAATTTAATTTGTTGATCAAAATTTTTTTTTTTTTTTTTTTTTTTTTTTTCCTTTTTTTTAAAAAAAAAAAAACAACATGCCCCAAAAAAAATTGTTATCAAACAAACCTTTTGGTTGTAAATATAAAAATAAAATATATAAAAATATATAAAAATATTTAAAAAAAAAAAAAAATTAAAAAGGTAAATAAAAATTTTAATATTATCTTTGGGTTGCACACAACCAGTGTATTCCCCCAACACACCAGGTGGTCATGATTATCCATGGTACTGGAAAAGGGCATTGTATGTGCCTATTAGTTGGTGCCTAAGATACCCCATAAACACTTAGTGTAATCCTTTTCTTATGTTGCATGGGCATCCATATTAATTTGCAATAGCAACTGAATTTTAAATTTATTTCACACTTTACAAAAATATAAAAAATTAATTTAAAAAAAAAAAAAAAAAAAAAATTTTTAAAAAAAATCATTTTTTTTTTTTTTTAAAATAATTATATTTTTTTTATTGTTGCTGCTATTAATATTATTTTATTTTATTGTTGTTATAATTATTTATTTCAAAAATGGAATTTTTAGAAGAAAAGTTTGAAAAAGAAATTAATAATAAAAGCAATAATGAATATTTAAATGAAATTATTAAATTAATTTCGGGTGCAGTCAGTAATGAAGATAAAAATAGCAACATTGTGCAATTAAAAGAATTCAGTGAAAAGAGGGAGTCTGAAGAATTTTTTAAAAAGTTATTTGAAATGATAACTTTGGAAAATGGGGAATTAAATGAAACATACAACGAGATATCATGGGAATTGGTCCACTCATTAGTGCAATCTTTAAATCATTATTCAAGTGATTGGGACATTAAAAACCACACAAATATAAATTCAACATGTAGAAATATCCTAAATGTAAGTATTTTTTAAAATTTAAAATATCATATATTTGTTTTTTTTTTTTTTTAAAAATATTAATGTTTTTTTTATTATTTAATAGATCATTGATTGGATATCAAGTAATTCAAGTGCCAGAGAATTTTTATTAATTATTCAAGAATTCGATGGTTCATCATTTATAACATTAACGACATTCACAAAAATATCAATGATCATATTCACAAAGAATGCATTAAAAAGAATTCCAACAGAGAAGAGATTCAACTTTTTAAAATCAATTTTACCACCCTTTTTAAGACTTTTAATTGAAGATAAAAAAGAAGTTGATGAAAACAATAGCACCCCACATGAACATCGCCAAGGTGAGTTTGGTGAAGATGATCAAGATGAAGAGGAAGATGATCAAGATGAAGAGGAAGATGATAGTGATGATGATGATGGTGATGATGCTGAATCATCAAAGAGCAACAATCATAATAAAATAAAAAAGAAAAAAAAATCAATTAAAATTTTAGGTCCAGATTTAGAACAAGAATTACAACAACAAAATACTGAAAACGATTTAAAGTGGCAGTATCCTTTGTCATGTATCTTAGATTTCGTCTATACATTCTCGTTGGATCTTAAGGCTCAAGATGTTTCAAATGATGATCCAAACTCTGGAATTACAACACCAAGAGCCATAAACAGAGAGAGCAAACAAGAGAAACCAAACACTCCAATTGCCCAACAACAGCATTTATTCCTCAATTTCCTCGTTACAATCCTCTCTTTAGAATCAACTTTAAATCCACCCCAATCACTTCTTTGCAACGGTGTTCCATTACTAGGTGTTATTGGTGAATGTCTCTCATTGATAGGTGCATCAACAACTTATATTTTAGGTACTGACCAAAGATTCAGATTAAAAAATAGAGAAATTGAACTAGAGGATATGTATTTAGATGAGGGTTTGGATGAAGATGATTTCCAAAATGACATTGACTTAAATTTAAATGACCCAAACATTTCAAAAAAAAACAAAAAAAAAAACAGCAAAAACAATGGTAATGACGATGAAGAACAATTTAATGATTCAGATTTTTATTCAAGTGATGAAGAGGATAGTGACAGCGAAAACAACAACGATGATGATGAAAAGGGTATTGAAATTGATGAGGAAGATGAATACAGTTCAATTGAAAAGCTATTTGACTTGGATTTGCCATATGCTGGTATTGGTCATTTACTTTATTTACTTGTATTAAAACCAACAGAGCAATATAGATTACCATCACTTCAATCACCACAATCAATTTTAATGGACAATCTACCATATTTAATCAATTTACTACAACATAAATCATACAAGATCGGTTTTAAAACTATTCAAATCATTTCATTCCTTCAAAAGAGAATTAAAGAGGGTACTATCAAAGTTCACGAAGAGTTTTTAAAGAATCCATATATTGAAGATTCCATTCAAGACCTCTTATCAAAGGCATTATCATCAAATAAAGGTGAAATTGATCACAAGCAAATCCAGGAAGCTTTTTCACAAGATAAGGAAAAGAAGCATAGAAATCGTTGGATCAATGATCAAACCACATCATCTATTGAAAAACCATATCATTTCTTACAGTTAATAGAATGCATTATCAATTTCCTTGTCAAATGTCCAGTGCAACAAATGCGTAGCTTTAGCTACAAAGTATTGGTATTGTTAATGAACACTCTAACACCCTCCACTAGATTCTATCTATTAGCCAATCTCATTAGCACCTGTATCTTCCCATCATTCACTGGTCTTTTAATCCATGTATTCAAAGAAGAAATCAACAAGGCTTGGTTATCAACTGATGTCGACTCTCGTGTATATTTCGTATCACCCAAAATATTAGAGGTTGTAACTATACCAATCCAGACAGGTGGCAATCTAATGGAAAGAATGGATTCAATTATGAATGGTTTGAACATGTACAGATATCTATTGTTAAGAGATAAAGATTCAAACCATACCGGCATATGGAGTAAAAGTAAAATTCAAGGTTCTCGTGAATCCTGTTTTTACCCATTAAGAAGAGATCTCTTGGAAGTCCAATCTCAATTCAAAGCCTCCGCTGAAGGTGATGAAAAGGCAATGGAAAAAGTTTTAAAAGGTGTTTCTAAAATGGGTGTAAAAGATTTATCAAAAGACGAAATTAAAAATGCTTGTACTTTGGTCACTTTTCATATTGATATGGCAATCGATGTTATAAATAGAATTTTAGAACTTCAAGATGAACTATTAAATAAAGAATAAAATCATTATCATAAAAATACCAAAATAGTTATTTTTTTTTTTTTTTTTTTCATTGCACAAATCTGTTTTTTCTTTAAAAATAATTTTTTCCTTTTTTTGTATCTTTTATTAAAAAAAATAAAAAATTTAAAAAAAAAAAAAAAAAAAAAAAAACGAACAATACGTGTTCATTTCTGATAACTTTATAACCTCTTTGGTCTGGTTACAATAAAAAAATCGAATATTGCCATCATGAAAAATAAAAAAAAAAAAAAAAAAAAAAATTTTAAATTTTTTTAATTTTTTTTTTAAATTATTCAAAAAAATTAATAAAATATTCCCTCACACACCAATTTTTTATTTAATTATTTTTTTATATTTATTTATTTCAAATTATATGTTGTAGAGTTTTATCATTAAAGTTATTTATTTGTTTTCAGTAATATTACACTTTACTAATATAATAATATAATTGTTTATATAATATCTTTTTTTTTTATATTTTTTTTTCCGATATTTTGTGTTTTTTAAATTAAAATTTATATATATATAATATATAAAAAAAAAAAAAAAGTTAAATTTGTTTTTATAGAATAAATAATAAATAATAATAATTGTTTAAAGAAATATCCTAAACATTAAAATTAAAAAAAAAATAAAATAAAATAAAATAAAAATAGATTATTTTAAACAATGTTTAGGAAATTTAAAGATTTGGTTGTAGGTAATTCGGAAGAAACACCTCAACAACACCACTCACCATCACCAACTATACCTCAATATCAAAGTAATATAGCAGTATCACCACAAAGTATATCATCACCATCATCATCTAGTTCATTATCCTCTATATCATCACCCCCAAGTAGAAATTATTCAGCAAATGAAGATTTACACAATCATCATCAACAACAACAACAACACCAACAACAGCAGTCACAATATAGCCAACAACAAAACAATATTTTACCATTTTTAATAAATACAAATCATGAATCAAAAAATGTATGGTTAATAATGAAGGATAGCGAGGTTGAACAAGTAAAGAGTACAGCAAACATTCAAAAATTAAAATCATTATGGCAAGATTTTTTATCAAGTAAATCAGATAAAGATAAAGTAATGAAACTAAATAAATTATTACCAAATTTCATTAGCCTATATGAAGACAAGAAAATAGATATAAAGAATAATATGATCGAGGTTTTTGGTAACAATTCAAGAGCATTCTCATTTGCAGTATCAAGACGTCTTGTTAAAGATATAAATGAAATCTATAAGCAATCGCAACAATCCAAAGAGAACGCAGCCAAAGAGATTTATAAGTTTTTTTCGACATGCTCAGGCCAAATATCAGGGTTTGAGTTATTATATAGTGTAGAGATATTATCAGAATCACCAACAAGTTGTGATGCAATGTCAGAAGCATCTGTTCCATCAATGTTGGTTCGTTGTTTACAATCACTTTTTTTAGTTCCATATCCAACATTAGAGCAGACCAAAGGTGTTATTGAAGATAAACTAATTAGAACCCTTTGTTTTCTCTCAAAACAAAAGTCAGCAATTGAAGAGCTTCAAAAGACTGATACTTTATCAATATTGTTCTCTTTAATGACCAATGACTGTCAATCAACTCACAGACCGTTAAGGGCAAAGATTGGTTCATTTGGTCATGAATTTTCAGATCTCCACCCACCAACTATTACTTATATAAACTCTAAAAAAGTAATTGGAAATATGATTAACGATTTAAATAATTACTTTATGTTCACTCCAGAGACCTACATCAGCATTTGTAAGATCATAGTTAAAATACTGGCAGAATCATCTAAAAAATCAACTATACTTTTGGATGAGTTTTTACGTAACGAAGGCTATTCATTCTTGGTTCAATCTTTATTCCGTTTAGAATCTTCAAAAGACAAACCTCATCTTTTCGATTACCTTTTAGATTCAATTTCTCATTTAATATATGTTGGTTATGGAAATATAAATATACCTGATCATTCACCAGTACCATATCAATCATCAATTCAAAACTTAAAAGAAATTTCAAGTAACTATTAAAATATATAAATATTTAATTAATACATAATAATATATACTAATTTTATTTTTATTATAGATCAGAATTATATTGCAAAGAATGGTAATGCATTTAAAGTTTTGGAACAATATTTTTTAAAATCATCATATGAAGAAAACAGAGTAAAAATTTTAGATAAAATTTTATCAATTTATTCATCAAATCCAGTCAATTTTATATTACTCCAGCATACAAATACATTAACTAAATTAATTCAAGATTATGAATCATTAAGCAATGATTTAAAGGTAATTAAAAAAAGAAAAACCAAAAAAAAAAAAAAAAAAAAAACATATCACTAATACTTTAATTTATTCTAGTATCACATTATGAAAATTGTTTGTTTTGTTGTTACAGTTTTAAATTGTGTACCATTCCAAGAGTTAAGTACATTTAGTTTATTAGTTAGCGAAAACCCATCAAAATACACCTTGGATATGATTTATCAATTAATAACGACATTGGTAAATTTCGAATTTAGATACAAACATATTTTTAGAGAAACCGGTTTATTAGATATTCTCGTAAAGGTGATCGACATCACTTCACAGGACATTATTAGATACAATCATAAAAAGACATTGGAGTCAGATCAACAAAATATCAAAAAAAATAGCGAAGAAGAGGTTGATTTAAAAGATCAAGAGTTGAATTCAATTATCAAGATTGATTCTTTCCAAATTCTTTTAGACAGTTTATATATTTTAATTGCTGAACATCCTGATAACATCAGTTTGATTAGAAGTTTGTAAGTAGAAAAAAATTAAAATTAAATTCCGCCAAACATACAACGCTAATAATTTATTCATTATTCTTTTAGTTCAATATTTAATGTTTTATTACAGTTTTTACCATATTCATTAGTTAGAAGCAAATCATTACAAATATTACAACAATTAATAAAATATGATCCCGAACCAACCCAAAAAGAATTTGATGGTCTAATCAAAGTATTAACAAGTGTAAATAACTCAAATTATCCAATGAAAACAGATATTTTAAACTCAATTAGAAAATTATTTTCAATTTCAAAGCATGCCCGTGATTCATTTAGAGAGCATGGTGGTTTTGTTTCAATTATTTCAGTAATAAGTGGTCTAGAATCAATTTTTACTACCAAAACCGAAGGAGAGTCTAGAAATTGGGATATGGAGAAGCTAGAGTTAATCGAAGCAATCTGTCGTTGTACTACTAGTGCATTATGCGGTAATTCTGAAAATAGAGAAATTTTTGAACAACAAATTGGTTATCGTACATTTTCATTTTGCTTGGTTAATACTGGTGTATTTAAGACTGAGTTTAGTAGATCTGTTGTCGATTTTATTTTTGATATGGTCACAGAAAACCTTAAAGGAAGTGATCACCCATCGACCCAAATGGTCATCAATAATGTAGAATCATTCAATGTAATTTTAGATATTATTCCACATATCACCAATCCCGATTTTATCTTACAAATAATAAGTCGTATTAATAGAATGGCAGAATATGGTCGTTTTAATCAAGAGGCTCTTTCTAAACTTTCAATTCCAGATTGGATTCTTCAAAAATTCCCATCAAATCTTTCAAATGCCAAAGATCCACTCCAACCAGTTCTTTTATCCCTAATTCAAACAGTTGGTGCAAATTGTTTATCTGGTTCTGAATTAAGACAGTTTGTTAAACTACTCCAACCAGAGCAATCTCCAGAAGTTCTCTTAAAAATTTTATCATCCATGGCCAAATCATCTCCAATGCCACCATATTTTGAGTTTAATCTTTCAAAGGTACCATTTGGTTATATTAGAACACCAATCCCAGATCGTGCTTGGCCCCCAACCAATGGTTACACAATTATGTTTTGGCTCTATATAGAGAAATTTGGTACTGGTGTACCAGGCCAACAACCAATTGATTTGGTTCATATATACAGCGAAGATAAAAAATCATCACTATACATCTACTTGAAAAATGGTTTCATCAATGTAAATATTATAAATAGTTCAAAGTATGTTATAGAAATACCTGCTTTTAAATTTGAAGAGTCAAAATGGTATCATATAGGTATAGTACACGCTAGAAGATTGTTAGGTGGTACAGATTTCAAATTGTTTGTTGATGGTTTTCTCAAGTATACAGCTACTAAAGCTCAATATCCAGCTCAAATCTCATCCGGCAGTCAGTTGCTTTGTGATGTTGGTGTCGCTAATCAAAATCGTTTTGAAGTTGATCAAATTTGGCGTATTGGTCCATTTTATGTTTTAGATGAATCCCTAGGTTCAAAACATATCAATACAATTTATTTCTTGGGTCCAAATTATGCATCAAACTTTAAAGGTCGTTTTTCACCATATCAAACTTATGAAATTATTAACTCTGCCAATTTAACAGCAATCAAAGATTTAGACTATGGTGATGCATTAGGTCCATTAAATCTAGCCAAAATATCAATGCAAATTGACGAAAATCGTATTATGGTTGGTCTTTGTGCAAGTAATAAACATGTTCGTACCAATAATAGCTCGAAGGTTATCTACAATGAAATTTATAATAATATCATCAACGATTTATCTCAACCAGGTACCCCTAATCTCTATAATTCCAGTATTAGTGGTTTGGTTGGAAATTCTCATCAATTATCAAATGCATCCCAAATGATGCTAAAGAAAGAGCTTGAAGGTAGAACCGAAATTATAAATCAAGCTGATTTAACTACCAAACAAAGGGCTATACTTTCTGGAAGTGTTGAAGCTTTCAGAAGAAACAAAGTCGCAGATTCAATTAAAAAGATTGGTGGTATGCCAATTGCATTGCTTTTATTAGAGAAAGCCAATACACCAGAAACACTATACGATTCATTAGGTTTACTAGTTGGTTTAGTTCAATATCACCCAACTAATACTCATGAAATGTCTCAAATTAATGGTTATGAACTTTTATCATGGGTATTGAAGAAAAAAGCAGAAATGGGTCTTTTTAATGACCAAATAGTAGAGCTTCTCTTTGACTTAATTGGTATGAATGGTAACACCTTACATTCGGCTAGAAATCCTCAAGAAGGTACCGTTGCAAATTGGAATGCTTGTAAATATGTTATGATGAATTGGGAAATTTGGAAACTTTGTTCCTCAGAGTTAGAAAAATATGTTATCAATGGTTATAATGGTTTGATTGCAAACAATATTCAAAAACGTTTCAACATCGATAATCTTAGAAAACTTAATATCATTCAAGAGATTTTTGATATTTTATCAGGCGGTATTGCAGATCAACAACTTAACGAAACAGTTGCCTCTAGTGTTATTGGTGTACTTTATAATATTCTTTCACATGGTGGGTTAATTGAAGATGATATAAGACAAATCTCAGCATTCTTAATATCACATCTTCACCAAGGTCTTATTAGTGCTAAAAGAAAATCATCATATCGTGGTAAATTGGCCACAATGGAATTTTCGTCTAGCTTTTCAAATCAAATGGTTAATCATGTATTCTATACATTCTTAAAGGTTGTTGCAAATTGTCAAGATCCATCTGTTATTTTCAAGAGAGTATCATCATACTGGTGTTTCTTTTTCATTGACGAAAACTTACCCCCACTTACTGTTTCATTAGCATTACGTGTAACTTGTATGTTCTTTTTATTCAAATATGACTATTGTTCATCATTCATTAAGAAATCTGGTTTCAAAATCTTTGAAAAGATATTACCATCATTCTCTGGATATCAAGAAATTTATTTATGTCTTTTACACTTATTATTGGGTAGCGACCCAAAACAATTGGTAGATTTGGATTTAGGTGGTCCTTTAGTTTTCCACGAACTACTCCGTATTTTTACACCCAACGAAAAGAACTTGTATTGTATCGAAGCTGCTCAATTAATTTTATCAATCATTAAACGTTCTTATGAAGAAAATTATCAATATTGCGAACAACAGTTACAACAACAATTGCAACAACAAAATCAACAAAATGAAACTGATGAATTATTATCAACTTTAATCTCTGCCTCATCTTTAAACCAAAACAATGGTAATACTTCACCATTAGCAACATCACAAACTATCTCACCTTCCCTCTCATCAAGCTCTTCAGGTGTACAACAAACCCAGACCCAAACCCAAAACCAACCACAACATGGTTTTGTCAATAAAGTTGGCAATTTATGGAATAAATTCGAAGAAAAAACTTTAGAATTTGCTGTTGCAACTGGTGCTCTTGAAGATATTCCTGATGCAGTTGTTCAAGGTAAAAAAAAGAGAGCAAGCTTACAACTATCACAACAACAGCAACAACAATTACAACAACAACAACAACAGCAACAACAACAAAATTTACAACAATCATCCCAACCCACATCATATCAACAACAATCACAAGATCCATCTATTAGTAACGTTATTAATAATTATTCAGAGGGTTTACCAGAATTAAAATTATCACAATATGCTTCACCAGAAGTTTCATCAAATCTTCAATATACAATGTTAACTTATTTCATATATTTATTCCATGAAAATGTTCATTTCCAACAAGAATGTTATACTCAAGCAATTGTTGAAGAGTTAATTTCAATTTTATTCCCAAATGGCAAATTGAACCTCCCAGCCTTATCTGCGAACCAATCAAGCACAAGTGGTGGTATTAAAGATAGAGTATTGGATTTAGTCGTTAAATTCCTTTGTCAAATTGTGTTATCTGCAATGAGAAAAACATCAAAGGCAATTTCTATTATTGAAATGGTTTTAGAAAGTACTCCAACCAATATCAGTGACGATGAATTTATCCTTTATCACAGTAGAATTCTTATTGACTTAATGTATGTTGTTGAAACAAATATTACCAAGACCGAATTTTTCGATAACGAACGTGTCCATTCTAATCTAATCAAATTATGTTCAATGTTGGTTGATAATGTTAACTTGGACCAATTGGTAAAGAATAATAAGACCATTATTTCAAAACGTGTATTTTTATTCATTGTAAAGATTTTAGAGAAATTAGAAGCTGATAGAGTTGGTCTCAAAACTGTTCAACCAATCTACCGTAGTTTAAACCGTATCATCCTATTCCTTGCCAACAATACAAGCGACACTGATTTACAATTTGTTACCAACCACATCATCAATCATCAAAGAATTATTTTTAGCGAAAATAACTTAGATAACGAATTTGTATTTGCTCTTTGCTACTCTTTGTATAAACATATTACCTCCGACCAACATGAATCGGTCGAATGTGCAAATAAACTTTGGAGACTATTATTAACATTAAAATCATCATCATACATTGAATATGTAGCATCCGTTCTTCAACTTAAAGTTCAAAGTTCAACCAATCCTCGTCAAACAGAATTAATTGATTTAAAACCAGGTTTTGAAATTTTAGCATCAAGGGATATTAGCGATTTTAAAAATTGGATGGATGAAAATATTACAACAATTGCACAAGTATTTGAAGAGGCACCAAAGAAAGCTCACTTAAATACTCAAAACAATGAAAAAAGACAAGCTGTTGAACATACCTTAACCCAATTCAAAGTCCGTAGATCTGAACGTATAACAAAGAAACTAAAACAAGAAAAGAAAGATCAACTGAACTCTGAAGAAAAACATAGACACATCTCAAAGAAAGCTCAATTCTTTGTTAAAACAGAAGGCGAACGTAGAAAGAAGATTAGACAATTAGAGAATGATAAACAAAAATTCAATGCTATTCAATGGGAAAATATGAGAGCTCAAATTACCAGAGAACGTGCCGTATGGGGTCCACCAGAACCACACTCACTCGATAAATGGAAGTTAGATTCAACTGAAGGTCCATACCGTATGAGAAAGAAGATGGAAAAGAATTATAATTTCTATAAAAACTATCCATATGTTCCACAATCATTTGATGAACATAATAGCTCACTCTTACCAATTCCATGTAGTGCCGATAGTGAACGTTATATGAATATTGTTGGTACCGAAGAAGCAAATCTATTAGAACCATCATATTGGAAATTTGATTTATTATCAACCAATCAAGTTATTACCTCATCAACTGGTATTGTTTCTCAAACTAACCAACAAGGCAAACCTCAACAACCACAACAAGAAACTATTTCAATTTCACAATCCTCATCATTATCATCACAACAATTAATTAACAATAGTGGTACCCAAACAACAACAACAACCAATACAACACTCAACGTACCAAATAAATCGACACCAGATTCACCATTAAGCAAATCATCATCAGTTGAATTCACACCACCAACCTCACCAATTCAATCATCAGATGACTACCTTAAATCTCCAAAGATTTCATCATCATTAGATTCTAAAGATGAACTCACAAATAGCGAACTATTTAATGATACCTCATCAATTATTTCAGAACTTAGTATAAATAGTGAAGTTCAACCATCATCACAACCACAACAAAGGGCTCAAACACCACAACAACAAAATCCACAAACTGGTCAACCACAACAAAACGAAATTGATGAAGAATCATCAACCTCAACCACCAGCGAAGATGAAACCCAAGCATTTATCAGATTATTGGACCCATATGATCAAAGCTATCTCAAAGATGCAATGAGAAAAGACCCAAGATTAAATGGCATTATGTATAATTGTGGTAGCGTCGATGGTATGGATAAGATTGAAGGTATTTTAATTTTCTGCCCAGTTTATATGTATATTTTCGATGGATATCAAAAGGAATCGACCGGTGAAATTAGCGAAGTTGAAGAAAAAATAAATTCAGAATGGTTACCAGAAGGCTCAGCTTTACCTCAAAAGAAAAAGATTATTCATTACTTTTTGAAATGGGCTTATGAAGATATTAGAGATATTCTCAAGAGAAGATACCTATTACGTCAAGTAGCTTTAGAAATATTTTCAACTGATGGTAGAAATAATTTAATTGTATATAAAGACGAACCAACTCGTGATGAAGTTTATCATACTTTAGTAAACTATGTATCAACTCATAATACTATCGGTGGTGATGCTCAAGGTATTACTGGTGCCCAAACCGGTGATGACATGGATGATCGTGGTATGAAAGATAGATTCACATCAATTTGGAGAAAATCACCATTAACATTAAAATGGCAACAAGGTCAAATTTCAAATTTCCAATATCTTATGCATTTAAATACTTTGGCTGGTAGATCTTATAATGATCTCACTCAATATCCAGTATTCCCTTGGGTATTATGTGACTACGAAAGTGAAGAACTTGATATTGACGATCCAAAAGTTTATCGTGACCTTTCAAAACCAATGGGTGCACTTCAAGAAAGTAGAGCTCAGAAATTCAGAGAGAGATTTGAAAATTGGGATGATCAAGAACCAAATGAACATGGTCATAAAGTGCCAAAATTCCACTATGGTACCCATTATTCCTCTGCCGCTATTGTATTATACTATTTAATTCGTTTAGAACCATTTACTCAACACTTCCTTAAATTACAAGGTGGTAGATGGGATCAAGCCGATCGTTTATTCAGCTCAATAACTGAAGCCTGGTCATCATCATCTCAAGGTAGTACTGGTGTAGTAATGGAGCTTATTCCCGAATTTTATTACCTCCCAGAATTCCTTCAAAACACAAATAAATTTAATTTTGGTACCAAACAAGGCGGTGAAGCAATTGACGACGTATTCTTACCACCATGGGCAAAAGGATCGCCAACCGAATTCATCAAATTACATAGAAAAGCATTAGAAAGTGACTATGTTTCCGAACATCTTCATGAATGGATCGATTTAATCTTTGGTTACAAACAACAAGGTAAAGGAGCTGAAGATTCTTTAAATGTATTTTATTATCTCACTTATGAAGGTGCTGTAAATATTGATGCTATCACTGATCCTGTCGAAAAAGCTGCTACAATTGCTCAAATTAATAACTTTGGTCAAACTCCAAAACAATTGTTTGATAAACCACATCCAAAACGTAACTCGGCATTAATTCCTCTTCCATTTTATGCTAAACCATTAGTTGGTAACTTTATCAAAGATATTGGCGAGCCAGTAGGTCAAATTCGTTTGATTAATGATCGTGCCACTTGTGTTGGTTTCAATAAGGTTCTTTTACCACCAAATCATTCAAAATATATATTATGGGGTCTCCCAGATGGTTCAATTCGTTACAATACTGGTGATAAGATTAAAGTTTTAGAAGACCATCATGATGGACCACCAACATGTCTAACTACCACCGAAGATGGTCGTATTTGTGTAAGTGGTGGCTCAGATAGTTTAATTTGTGTATTCAATCTAAAGAGATTCTCTCTCGCTAAGCGTCTCAATGGTCACACTGGTCCAATTACCTGCGTTGCTGCCTCTCGTCCATACTCTGTAATTGTTAGTGGCTCAGATGATCGTACTTGTATCATTTGGGATTTAAATAGACTTTGCTATGTACGTAGCTTAGTTGGTCATGATGGTCCAATCTCATGTATCTCTATCAATGACCAAACTGGTGATATCTTGGTATGCTCAGGTACAACAATCAACATTTACACTATCAATGGTGAACTTTGCATTAGTCACAAAACCTCACAAATCACAAATGACCAAATTACTACATGTATTTGGTCAAAAGGTCAAGAATGGCTTGGTGAAAATGTATTTTTAACTGGTCATCGTGATGGTAAACTTAAGATTTGGGCTATGGAAACCAGATTACAACCAGACCCAGCAACTAATAAATTAAAATTCAAAAATGTTATCATTCTTCGTGCAACATTCCATAATAGTCAAGTTCATAATACAGCTATCACCTCAATCTTTTTAACCAATGATCAACAAAAATTCTACTTAGGTGATATTGTAGGTAAAGTTTCACTTTGGATGGAGGAATCAAACCAATCAAAACAAAGAAATTGGAATGATATAACTATTAATCCAATTAGAGGTATATTATCGGATAAATCAAATAAATAAAAATATAAATAAAAATTAAAATTAAAACAAAAGAAAAAATTAAAAAACTATATAACTTTGGGTATTTCACTTATTTAATTTAAATAATAAAATTTTTGTCGGGGGCTATATATTTTGAAAATTATTAAAAATTTTCCCAATGGATCTAAAAACAAAACCCAAAATCAGGCTTTCATACCCTAAACAAAAAAAAAATTAAAAAATTAAAAAAAAAAAAAGAAAAGTCTTTCGACAACTATTTATAAACGGCAAACGGAAACCATAATTTTTTATTTATTTTATTTTATTTTTTTCTGTTTTTTTAATTTTTTAAATTTTTTATTTTACTATTTTTTTTTTTTTTTATTTTTTTAATATTAAAATTAAAATTTCTTGCCTATATTTATTTATATAAAAAATGAACAAATTATTTATTTTTGTCTTCTTAGCTTTAATTGCTACTGCTTTTGCTGTTAATAATGTTAAAATCCAACCAGAACAACCAAAAAATGAAGGATTTTTACCATTATGTATGTATAAAAATTTATAATTTAGCAATATATAAATAGGAATTTATAATAAATCTAATATTTATATATCTCTTAAAGGTATGATCTGCAGTTATGTTGTAGATAAAGTCGATGATTACTTACAAGCTCACACTAACACCACCCAAATCGTTTCTATGGTTGAACATGATTGTCAAGAACTTCAAAAATCAGACTGGATTAACAAATGTGATAATATTGTTTCTGAATATTTAGGTAGGTTAAGAATAGAGCACATTGTTGATGTTTATTATTAATTAAACTAACACTATTTTTTTTTAGGCGAAATCATTACCCTCTTAGAAGAAAAGAAATCAGCCGAAATTGTTTGCAAAGTTATTACTCTTTGCTAAATTGTTTAATAATAAATACTTTTCTTTTTTAATAAATAAAAGTTTAATAGATCTTAAAAATAATTAACAAATAAAAAAAATTATAATTGTTTTTAGTTTTATAAAATATATCTTTTTTTTATTTTATCTTTATTCTATGCTATTAAGCAAAGAAAACAATATCTCTTACAGAAATGGTACCTAAACCCCATAATGGCTGTAAAAAAATAATAGAAAGATCTTGACGAAGGAAACAATATGATAATATATATATTGGTTTACTTGTATTTATTATATTTGAATTTTAAAAGAGCAAATTGCACTCAGTTAAAATTACACCACCAATTAAAGTGACCCTAATAAATTGATTAGTTTTCTAATTTATCTGTATATTTTAATGATATATTAAAATGATACATACCTAGTTTAAACACCACAATATTTTTAATACTATTTAATTGTAATCGAAATTCGTTTGTAGTAAAAGGTTGAAGGGAGAAGCTTAATAAGGAAAAATATTAAAATTAATAGTCAGAATATATTATTATCCTTTATAAATCTATATATAGTTTTCTTTAAATAAATACAACTATCATGATATAAAATGATTAATTTTATTGAAAATAAATTATGAAAATATTAATGCATTGATAGTTTCCCCCATCATAATGAATGTAAATATATTGTAAAAAAATACAAATTTTTTTTTTTTTTTTAAATTTTTTTTTTTTGGGGGGTAAGTGCGTCGGTGTGGGTGTGGGGTGTTTAATGTTAGAGAGCGAATTGGTGTATTGGTGTATTGTGTTGTTATTGTTGTGGTAAATGTGTGAAATAAAAGTAGTAGTCATATAATAAATTCAGAAATAAAAAAAATAGTGAAAAAAATACTCATATATCTTATATTTTCTCTGTCCATTTTATGTAATCTAAAGGGTACCCGTGTGATTTTTTTTTTAATGGGTGGTATATTTTTAATTTTCTTTTTCCATTATTATCAAATTCTATTTTTTTCATATCATCACTACCTTTTTTTTTTAAAAGAAAAATAATTTTTTTTATTTAAAATATATTTAAAAAATTACTCATTTTAATGTTATAGTTAACAATGAGAGTGCATATAAATTCCCAAATCATTTTTTTTAGCTCTATTTGTTGTGGGTATAGTTGTAAATTATTATTCACTAATTATATTTTTTTATTTTTTTTTTTATTTATAAAATCGTTATTTATATTTATATTTATATTAATATTTTTTTTTTTTTTTTTTTAATGCATTTATTAAATAGGGGGATGTAAAATATTAAATAATACACTATTAAAAAATCGATTATAATTTATCATATTAAATATTATATAATTTCTTTTTTTTCATTTTAATAAAAATAATATAAATTATATTTGTTCTATTTATTTAAAAATTAATTAATTTTTTTAAATTAATTAATAATTTAATTTTTTTTTATTGTTTATAAATTGTAATAAATATTATTTAGAATAAAAGAAACGAATAGCAAAAACAATTCCAGATAATAATTATTTATTAAAAAAAAAAACTATATTTATTAATTTTATAAAATGAAATTAATAATATTTTTTTTGTTTTTTATACTATTAAATTTTATTTATATAGATAGTATTGGTGATGATTGGAGGTTCTCATCTCCAATGTCATTCGAATCGGTAGTATCCCCGGTTCCAAAAAATAGAATATTGCAATGGGTGGACACCTCTACAATTATAAATATGACCAATCCAGTTGATCAGAAATATGTTTCGCAAATCGTTGGTATAAATATTCCTACAAATACATCATATCTTAACAATGCAGAATTGATAAACTTTTTTTCAAATAAGAGTTCAGCAACATTTTTAGGTCAATTTAACTGCAAAACCAATATGCCAACTTGTATCGAATATAAATTTAGTGAAACAATGAATGACTTTTGTATGATAGTTGCATCAGTCGATGGGTTTGATAGGGTTACTTTACATGGTATGGATACAACAGCAGGTTATGCAAATCAAATCGGACCAGTAATAAAACCAATTCATTGGATAGATGTTAAGAACGGTTCATTCTCATCAACCAATCCAGAGTGTGGAAAAATATTTAAGACAGAAAGACCAGAATATACAACATTGGGTTGTTTCGATAAAATTTGTGACAATCCAAACTTTGCAATTTTAAAACCAAATGTAACTATCGATTATTTGAAGATCTGTTTCGAATCATTCTCTGATTCGGAATATTTTTTTTACTCGTTCTCTAAATGCGTAAATATTGGTTCTGAAATTACTCGTCCACCTCTTTCCATTGCCTTTTCAGTATCTGGTGTTGCTTTCCTCGATAAAGACTACGATGGTATTTACAATCCACATATCGATTCACCTTTGCCAGGTGTCAATGTATTCTTAACAACATCAGGTGGTCAACCAGTTAGAACTAAATATGGTTTCATGGCTCCAACTAAAACTAACGAAAAAGGCTTCTATATATTCTCTAACATTGCTAGAGGTGCCTATCGTGTTAAATTCAAGTTTGAACCACAATACTCACCAACTACAAAAGAAAAGTCAGATTACGATGATTATTCAACTTCTAAAATTAGTGCAACCTTTAGTACAGATGTATTCATTGTTTCAAATACAGCTGCGGGTGTAAGAATGACTACCGACAGTGATGATGAATCCATTACAACCGATAGAGTTTTACCAGGTATCAATGGTGGTGTTATTTCTTCTGACTCGGAAGAAATGACAATCACACTTAGCAGTAGTGATAGTATCGATGGCAGTAGTTCTGAAAATAATGGAGCAAGTAGTGGTGAAAATGGAGATTTTATTAATAGAAAAAAGAAAAGTATATTAATCGAAAAATAAAAAAAAATATATAAAAAAAATAATAAAAATAAATAACAAAAAAAAAAAGGATAAATAAATAAATAATATAATATAATATTAATAAATAAATTATTATTTTAAAATAAAAAAAAAATTAAAAAAAAAACTATTTAAATTTTTTTTTAAAAACTATTATTTTTTTTTTTATAAAAACTATTATTTTTTTTTTTTCGTAAAGATCTATATACAACAAAAATGTCATTTAAATTTAATTTTCATATTGATGATAAAGAAGATATAAAAGAAGATAAAGATATATCAGAATTTGATATAGAATCTAAAATTGATGAATTACCATCAAAATATTTAGAGTTTAATGTAATAATTATATTCCTACAAAAAAAATTATTTATTTATTTTTAATTAAATTTTTAATTTTAAAATTTTTTTTATCTTTTTTATTTTTTATAATTTAGGTTAATAATAAAGATATAATTTTAAAATTAGAAAATGAAAACGTTAATTTTAATCAAAATAAAAGTTTAAAGAAATTAATTAAACCATTTAAAAATAATGAAAATAGTGGTGATAATAATAATGATAATAATTATGAAAATTTATTAAATAAAACAGATTTAATTCCAGGTGTATACGAAGGTGGTTTCAAATTATGGGAATGTGCAATTGATGTTATTAATTATTTAATTGAAGATAATATAGATTTAAAAAATAAAAAAGTTTTAGAAATAGGATGTGGACATGGTTTGCCAGGTATATTTTGTTTACTTCATGGTAGCGTGGTAACATTTCAAGATTATGTAGGTATTAATATTCTAAATATCGAGATAGATGATCGATATTTCCACTAATTAACAAAAGAATATTAATTAAATACTAATAAACAATTTTTTTTTTTTGTTAAAAATAGAATCAAGAGGTTATATTTAATTTAACTCAACCAAATTTAATAATTAACAATAGTAATAATGACAATAACAATAAAGAAAATAGTAAATTTATATCGGGCGATTGGAAGTTTGTTGATGAATTATTAAATAATGAAAAATTCGATCTTATTTTAACCTCAGATACATTATATAATATTGGATCTTTTAAAAAACTTCATAATCTAATTTCAAATCATTTAGAGACAAATGGAAAATGGTAACTATTACAAAAAAACATATTATAAATACAATAAAAGAATAATAAAAACTAATTGTTAACAATAACATTATATTTATTTTAAATTATTTTAGTTATTTAGCAAGTAAAACATATTATTTTGGAGTTGGTGGTGGAATTAGAAAATTTGAAGAACTAGCAAACGTTTTAAATATTTTATCAATTAAAACAGTAAGGGATATTAAAGATGGTTTTTCAAATGTTAGAGAAGTTGTTGAAATTACAAAAAAATAATAATTTAATAAATATATAAATTATTATAGTTTTATAATCAAAATTTTATTTTTATTAAATTTTTTATTTTTTATTTATTTTTTTAAAAATAATGGTATATATTATTTTAAATCACACCATTCTTTTAATTAATAATAATTTAAAATAATGTAATTTTAAATCTTCAATCTTTTAATTTAAACTTAACCAATTTAATTTTTTTCATTTTTTTTTTTTTTTTTTTTTTGCTTCCTTTCATTTTAATTTTTTTTATCATCATAAAAAATGAGAAAAAAAGAAAAAGGAAAAAAAGTTGATTGCTAAAAATAGATATTAAATTAATATAATATTAAACAAAACCTTTTTTTTTTTTGAAAGTTTAAACTTTTTAAAAAAAAAAAAAAAAAACTTATAGATATACATACTTATAAGACGGGTTTAAACCTTTTGTTTTTTATGTTTATAATTTTAAAATAAAAAAATAAAATTAATAAAATAAAATCTAAAAAAAAAACACTAAAAATAGAACATTTTGAAAAATTAAAATATTCTAAAATGTAAATAAAAAAAAATATATATTATGACATAATTTAGATTTATTGTTAATGTCCTAAAAATAAAACATTTGTTAAAATTTTTTGAATCCAATAAAGTTATAAAATAAAATAAAACATTTTTTTAAATACTATGATGAATATTGTCATTTTAATCTCAATGGTTCCATAAATGGTGTTCCTATTGAACCCAAATTTGAAAGAATCTTTATTATTTAATACTGTTATTTGAAATATTTTAAAAAATAACCTCTTCCCAAAAAATTAAATGCAATCATATAAAATTAAGTGACATTTTAATTAAAAAAATAAATAAAAAATAAATAAAAAAAGTTATAATTTCATACACAACGACTACTATATAAATTGAATAAGAATGTTGTAAAATAAACTTAAGTAACGATTGGATAATAAGTGTGTATATTGTTTTTTTATAATAAAAAAATTTTATAACTCTTATAATTTTTATTATGATTTTCATTATTATTAATGTTGTTAGAGTGTTAATAATTATGTTTGTATTTTAAATTCTGGTAGTGGTAGTGGTAGTGGTAGTGTGTGAATATTTTTGAATATAAAATTTTAAATAAAAAAAAATAGCTTTAATCTTATACATTTATATAATTATTTATTTAAAAAAAAAATAAAAAATAAAAAGAAATTGTTTTATTTTATTTTATTTATTTATTTATTTATTTAATATTTATTTTTTATTTTATTTTTTTTAAAAAAAGTGATATAAATAATAGTGTTATATAATTCACTTTTTAAAATAAAAAAAAAAATAAAAAAAAAAAAGATTTAGTGTTTTCAAGTTTTTTTTTTAATTTAGTTTCAACCTATCGAATTTTTAACCAAGTTTAAATCAATAGATAGAGGTAATACCCATTGACAATCTTTATAATTAAAGAAATAAAACATTTATTAATTTTAATTTTATTTATTTATTATCTTTTTTTTTTTTTATTTTTTTGTTTTTAATCTTTTTTTTTTTTTTAATTTTTTTTTTTTTTTATTTACTTTTGGCATCATTGTTAAATAACAATTACATTTCTTTCCTATAGATTTTAAATCTGTTGTTTATTGAATCAAATAATTAATTCACTCACTCACACCCACTTAAACCCACACTATAAAATTTTTTTTGTAAATATAAAAAAAAAAAAAAAAGGAAAAAATTAATTTTTAAATATAATGAACTGCTTAAAAAAAATTTTAATATTTTTTTGTTTTCGCAATAAACATAAATTTCATATATTCCCATACCAATTTTGATCTTATCAAATCAAGAGAAGAATATGCAAACGATTTTAAACAGGTAATTATATCATTTTATTATTTTTTTATATTTTATATTTTTTTTTTTTTTTTTTTTTATTATAAAAATTGATAATTATTCAAATTTTTTTTATTATTTTCAGGCACTTTCATTTAAAACAGTTTCATACGATAAAACCGATACTGAAAATAAAATTGACTATAATCAATTTCTAGATTTCCACAATTTTTTGCAATATAAGTTTCCTTTTGTCCACTTACATTTAAATAAAACAATTATAAACAAATATTCATTAATTTACAGATGGGATGGAACAAATTCAAATATTAAACCACTATTTATCAATGCCCATTATGATGTTGTACCAGTTGAGCAAAGTAAATGGAAGTATAACCCATTTGGTGAAATTAACAATGAAATTATTTATGGAAGAGGTGCCTTGGATAATAAGCTAATAGTGATGGCATCAATGGAAGCAATCGAAGCAATGTTAAAAAATGGTTTTCTTCAACCTAAAAGAACAATATATTTATGTTTTGGTCATGATGAAGAGATTGGCGGTGTAGAAGGTCACAAAATGATTTCTAAATATCTATATGAAAGAAAAGTGTTTCCAGAGGCCATTATTGATGAAGGTAGTCCAATATTAGGTCCAAATGTTTTCCCAGGATTAAATAAAATGACCGCACCAGTTGGAATTTCAGAAAAAGGTTATTTATATTATAGATTAATGGTAAATTTAAATAGCAGTGGTCATTCATCGATTATAAGTGAAAGTGTAATTGGGATTTTATCAAGGGCATTAGCTAGAATTGATAGCAATCCATTCGAACCTGTAGATAATATAGAGTCTACCAATCCATTTTTAAAGTATTTCTCCAAAGATGTTATTAATGGAAGCCCACTCCTCACCTCATTTGTTAAAACCACGACATCATTGACTATAGTTCGTTCTGGTGATAAAGTAAACATTGCTCCATCATCTGCCACTGCATGGGTAAGTCATAGAATTGTTCAAGGAAACACTGTTGATTATGTAAAGAACCGTATATTAGAAATTATAAACGATACTAGGGTTTCTATGGAAATCGACGATCACCTTGAACCATCACCAATCAGTTCAAATTCATGTTACTCTTTCCAAACTTTAAAAGATACATTCCAACAACAATTCAATGGTTATAATTTTGAAGTATTACCAATTCAATTAATTGCAAATACTGACACAAGACACTATTGGAATTTAACTTCAAATATTTATCGTATAACACCAGCACTTGGCTCAACACAAGATATTTCAACTATTCATGGAAATAACGAAGGTATTTTAATTGATGAATATTTAAAGTCAATTCATTTTTATAAAAAATTAATATTAAATTTTAATATATTTAATAATACAATTGATGATACTGATAATAATAGCATTCAAAATAATAACAACAACAACAATAATAATAATAGTAATAATAATAATAATAATAATAACCATAACAATAATGATAATAACCATAAAACAACAGAAAATATTGATAATAATAATCATAAAGAAAATGATGAAAAATGTTTTTGTAAAAAAAATAATGAAAACAACTCAATTAATTTTAAAAGCGAACATAAAAATAAATATAATAGGTTTGATATTTATACTATTATATAATTATATATAATAGAATAAATATTAATTATAATGTTTTTTTCTTTTTTATTTATTAATCTTTTTTATTTATTAATCTTTTTTATTTTTTAATTTAATTTAATTTAATAACTGGACCGGTATATGGTTCACGATCTACTTTTCTTAATAATTCATTTCTAACAATATCTCTTTGAGCAATACCATTAAATACTGGGCCAAATGGTTTTCTTGGAACAAATGTACCGCTACCTTTTTTAGTTGAAAGTTTGTTATCATTCCAAACGATATTACCAGCAACGATTGTAGTGGTTGCAATACCTGTAACTTTGATACCTTCGAAAATATTGAAATCAACAGCATGATGATGGGTATCTTTTGAAATGGTTTTAGAAGCTTTTGGATCCCAAAGTACAATATCCCCATCGCTACCAATATCGATACGACCTTTTCTTGGGTATACATTGAAAATACGTGCAGCTTCGCTTGAAGTGGCTCTGACGAATTGTGAATGAGTTAATTTACCTTTATTAACACCATTTTCCCAAACAATAGACATTCTATCTTCTACACCATTAACACCATTTGGAATTTTGGTAAAGTCGTCTTTACCCAAGGCTTTTTGTTCGGCACAAAAAGTACAATTATCAGTACCAACACAATCTAAATCACCATTAGCTAAATAATCCATTAATACTTCTTTAGTTCTTGGATCTGGACGAATTGGTGGGCCCATAACGTAGGCAGCGGCATGTCTCCAATCATGATTCCACATATGAGTACCATCAACACCTAAGCCTGCAGCAATTGGTTCGCCATATACACGTCTACCATCCTTTCTATGTCTTGCGATAACCTCAGCAGCACCAATACTCATTACATGGACAATGTATACTGGGGTGTTAACACGATTGGCGATTGTGATTGCTCTATTGGTGGCTTCAGCTTCTAAATCTTCTGGTCTTGATAACTCGTGACCTTCTGGACCATTGATACCCATCTCTAACATCTTCTTTTGACCTTCAAATACTAAATCACCATTTTCAGCATGAACTTGACCAATTGCACCTAATTCCTTGCATCTCTTGAAAATATGATACATCTCTTCATCTGTAACCATAAATGAATTTTTATATGCCATAAATACTTTAAAACTATTTACACCTCTTTCTTTTACAAGAATTTCCATTTCTTTTGATACCTGTTCACTCCACCAAGTAACTGCCATATGTAATGAGTAATCGCAATTAACTTTTTCATCTGCCCATTTTCTCCATTGGTCATAAGCTTCTAATAATGATTGTCCTTTAGTTGGAATAACAAAATCGACTATTTTTTAATAATATAAAGAAATTTTAATAATCTAAAAATATTCAATTGATGCTATTTTTTTTTTTAAAACTTACTAATAAAAGTTGTACCACCAGCAACTGCTGCCTGAGTACCAATATCAAAATCATCGACTGAAACTGTACCCATAAATGGTAATTGGAAATGCTTAAAAATTATAATTATTTTATTAAATAAAATTAATATTAGTATTTTAATATAAAGTAATCTCCTTTTTTTTTTTTTTCTTACTTACAGTATGTGTATCAATACCACCTGGAATTAAAAGTTTATCAGTTGCATCTACAACTTTAATACCTTCAATTGGTTTGATTGATGGTGCAATTTGTGTAATAATACCTTTTTGAATTAAAACATCGGATTTAAATTCTCTATCATCGTTTACAACGGTACCATTTACAATTAAAATATCAGCCATTATTTATTTATTTAAAAATACAAAAGTTAAAAAAATAATAAAAAAAAAATAAAAAATTTTAGTTTATTAAAAAAAAAAAATTTGAAAATTAAAAAAACACAGGATAAAAAATATGAAAAAAGTTTTATTATAATTAATTTTTTTAAAAAAATATCTTTTTTTTTTTTTTTTTTTTTTTAAAAAAAATTAAAAATAATTAGATCACACAAAATTTTAATGTGGGGTTTTTTTATGTTTTTTGTGGGTAATATAAATTTTCAGATGAGTTTTTTTTGTTTGGCTAAACTATTATATTAAGAATTAAATAAATATTGAATATATTTTTCAATTTTAATTAAATATTAAAAGATGAAACAAATTTAAGGTTTAAATAAGAGTATGTGAAATTTTCAAAAAATAATATTTATAATAGTTATAATACATTTTTATTTATTATTGTTCACTACTAATAACAACAGTGGTTGTGGTTGTTGTAGTTGTTGAGTTGTTTTGATTTTCTAAAACCTCTTTTTTTACATCTTCAATATTTCCATTTCTATTACTTTTATATTTGATATTTTCATCATTTTTTATTTCTATAATTGATTCCTCAATAACTTGATTTGTTTTTTTTTCTTCTGAATTATTATAATCTTCATTTGGATACTCTACTTCTATTTCTTTAATATCTATTGTTATATTACCAAAAAAATATTGTCTATTATTTAATTGTTGAATTAAAGGAATAAACTCCAATTCTTTATATGTCACATGTAATTTTTTATAATAATTTTCAATATTATTTATTCTCTAAAATTTAAAAAAAACTATTAGAAAAACAATAAATTACAAAAAACAAAATAACATTTAAAACTTACATATAGAATTGTTTTTTTTTGTATCAAATTAATTAAATAAGTGAATGAAAATAATAAAATTGTTGGTATTATTATTGTAAAGAAATATTCATATGGACTTTTGAAATAAAATAAAAGAAAAAAGATAATTGCTTGTAGTGCTATTATAAATGCAACATTGATTGAGTGTATTATTATAAAAAGATATGATTTGCTATTTATATTATTCGACTTTTTTATTATTTTAAAAAATTGATCCTTATTTATATATTTTTCTAATTCAGACGGGTAGTATGGCGAAAATTGTGAACCTTGAAATTGTTTCATAATTATATATTTCTCTTTAGTGTTTACTATTATATTATAGTTGTTATAATGTGAAAAGTTTTGAAATATATTACTAGATAATTCAATTGAATCATCTTTATTATTATTTATTTTAAAAAAACCACTTCCATTTGATTCAACCTCATTATTATTATTATAATTATTATTACTGTAATTATTATTTGTATCACAATTATTACTTGAGTTAAATTTTAAATTGTAATTAAAACTATTACTACTATTATTACTAACTATTGACATTAATTATTTTATATTATATAGAATCATACAGAATCGTATATTTAACATTTAATTTGGAAATAAAAGTAAAAAATATTTTATTTTTAAAATCACCCTACATAAAAAAAAAAAAAAATAAAAAAAAAAAACAGTGTACTTAACTATATCCCTGTTATTTGAGACTCTCCCGAAAATCTCAGAGATGAAGCTCTTAAAAAAAAAATTTTGTTTTATTTTTTTTTTTAAAAAAATTTTTCCCAATTTATTGAATATTTTTTAAAAAATTGTGATTTTTTTTTTTTTTTGAATGTTTGGTGAATTTTTTTTTAAAATGAAGATATATTATTTTTAAAGATAAAATTTATCTCCAGAAACTAATAAAAATCTTAATTGTAATGTATTTGGAGAGCTTTGATTCATAGTTTGAAATATTAACTGAAACCTTTAATCCGCCTTCTTCAAGTGATAGCTTCATACCTACAAATTCATATACTTTATCCTGTTTTACTTCTTCAATTATATATGTTAAAATACCTTAATTATTGTCGAGTTTTTATGAGAATTGATATATAGCTTTTTCTTTATCTATTGAAATATCCCAGCGTTTTCTTCAAATAATTTGTTGAAGCTTTTTCGAAGGAACAAATCTATCATTTTTAATAGATCAAGAGCATTGACCCGTTGTAGTATCAAATTGAACATTTTCTGGACTAGTACAGTTGTTTGGGCAACATTGGATTGGATTAAAATATTGAAATTTACCAAATAAACTAAAATAATTACATCTTTAGTACCCATACCACCCTCAAGTTTTTTTTTTTAAATAATACAAATTTGTATTATTTTTTTTATTTTTTTTTATTTTTTTTTATTTTTTTTTATTTTTTTTATTTTTTTTTTTATTTTTTATTTTTTTATTTTTTAGCTTGGAAATTCTATAATTATTTATCAAAAAATTAAATATTTAGATGTTGATGATTATCATTCATGCATGAATTGGTTAATTAGGAGTTAAATACAAAGCAAAAAAAAAAATTAAAAAAAATTATTTACAATTATTTTCTTTATTAATTTAATTATTAAACTATTAATTATCAAAATTTATTTATTAAATGATTATTTAATTAAATTTATAATAATTTAGTTTTTAAAATACTGATTGGTTATCTATTATTGGATATGCTTTTGCCAGTGAATCTAAGTGGTGGTTTTTTACCTGCATGGTCCAATAATTGTTTCAATTTCTATTTATTGTTTTTTGGTGGTGTAAAATTTTGATGAAGAGTTTTGATATATGTATGGTGTAAATCTTAATGTTTTTTTTTAATCTTTAAATAAATTCTGATGAGTACGGCATGACCTCCTGTGCTGATATCATTATGGAATATTTGAAGAACTAGTTGAGATAAAAAAGTAATTGTTGATATTGATCTAGATGAAATGATGCCCTGGATTTTCTCTAATAGAAAGTAGGGCTTTGTAAATGACCAACTTTTACTTTTTTAAATTGTCAGTTTCATCATCAAATGATGAAAGGGGTGGGCTATCAGAAGTGGTCCATGAATTACTATTTAAGCTTGATGAGGAGCTTGGACAAATTGGAGAATTTATATCTGATCCATTACTAGTTGAATTATCACTGGAGTGGTTAGATAATTCATAACTGTTGCAATTTGGAGCATTTGAAAAAAATTCAACAGATGATTTGGCCATATCATCGTATTGTTTTTTTTCCAAAGCTAATCTGGATTGTGAATCTTTTAATTTTAATCTTAGTGCCAAAATTTCTTTATTTGCAACCTTTTTTATTTCAGATAATTGCTCTGATGCATTTTCCAATCTTGACTCTGTACGTACTCTGAGGGCATTAAATTTATAAACCTGAGCTTGAATTTCATTATTAAGTTTGGAGTTTGTTTCTTCAAGCTCAATGGTTTTCTAATTAAAAGAATAAAAATAAAAATAAAATAAGATATTAGTAAAAATAAAGTTTTGATTTATAATATTAAATATTAATAAACATTTGTTGATCATTAATAATTAATATTAATATTGATTTATCAATAATTATTTCTATTTAAATATTTACCTTTTTTAATTGTTCGTTTTGGTTTAATGCCTTTTTTAATTTTGCTGAGCCAGTTTCTGATAAAGGTTGACCTAGTATCACCTTCATTTCATTTTCATAAACTGATAGCAATCTTTTTAATTTTAAAGAATTATTTTGATTTTTTTCTAATTTTGATTGAATAGCCGCATTTTCCTTTGATAGGATTGCCTTTTCTTCGGAAAACTAAATATTTTTAATAAATAAATATTAATAAATTATAAAATATAGTTTATGTTATATGAAACTTACCTTCATCATAATTTCATTCTTTTGGTTTTCCAAAAGACGATCAACATCTTCTCTATTAAACATTTGAACATTATTGTTTTGTTGATGTTGTGGACGATAGTATTTGACGATGATTGCGGTACTAAGGAAATTAAATACAGAAAAAACAAAAATATAAAATACAATTAATGAAGTATCTAAATCAAACATTTTTTTTTACTATTAACAATAAATTGTAGTGTTTAAAATATATATAAAAAATAAATAACTAATTAAAAAAAACTATTGTGATTAGATAAAATTTATAAAATATGAATTTGGAAATGTAAAAAATAAAGATTGACTATACAAAAAAAAATTTGTAAGCTTTTATTTTTTATTGAAACAAAAAAATATTATATAACAAAGTAAAACAATTTATGACAAATAAAAAAAAAAAAAAGAAAATATAACAAAATGAAAATTATTATAATGAAAAAAAAAATTAAAAAAAAATTAAAAAAAAATTAAAAAACAATACTATACTGTTTAATTTAAATTTTTTAATAATATTCATATAGTGTTCTTTTAGTTTACCTTAATTATATAAATTAAGTATTACAATAAAATATTATTTTATTAAATTCTCTCTCTGATATATTTTCATTGTAAAAAGAATTTAGTTTAAAAAAAAAAAAAAAAAAAAAAAAAAAAAAATTTAACATTTATCACTATAAAATGAATAGAATAGAATTTAATATAATAATATTAATAGTTTATAATAAAATAAAATAAAAAACATTGTAATGAAAAAAAGAATAGAGAAAAAGAAAAAAAAAGGAAAAGAAAAGTCATTAATTACTAACATGCGAGACTTGGGTTTCGAACCCGGAGGATATAAATAATGTAATGTATTCATACATCATTTTATAATTAAATGAATATTACAGTTGTACTTATATCTCAAATATTAAAATTTAAAATAATTAAATTTATTTTTTAGTATTTAGTTTTGTTTTTTTTTTTTTTTTTTTTTTTAAAAGTGAAGATTATTAAAAACAGATGCTTTAAATTAATGTAAGGTACTAAGATCAAATAATTAAATAAAATAAAATTTATACATTATTATAAGTTGGGCACAGTTTTGTCAATTCGTGTAATCGGTAAAATAAATTCGTTGTAATGTAGATGGAGCTACTTTAGTTATAGATAAATAATAAATATAAATAATTCTAATAATCAAATAAATATACAATTCTTTGTTTGTGAAAACTAAAACCGAAAACCGAAAACTAACTAGTTGAGATATAATTATAACTGTAATATTCATTTAATTCTAAAATGCATATGAATACATTACATCGTGTGTGATTCGGAAAACCTACGAGACTGGGAATTCGCACCCGGAGCGGTAACTTAGGAAATTAAATCATATCTCCTGGAAGAAATATAATAAAAAAATTGTTGTCTGAGGGATTCGAACCCTCGCATCAATGATATTGCAGCCTTAATGCAACCCCTTAGACCAACTCGGGCAAAACAACATGAATATATTTGTAGTTAAACTGCCCCCCGTCCGACCATATGTGCTGTTTTGATCGCGTTAATTAATATATCTATGATCCTAGACTTATTAAGAGTCACTAACTGCTGTTTACTAACTACTTTTTAGTAACTACCATTCCAGTATTTCCAACTAACTTAAGAATTAGCTTATAGAACCAATCTCATTCACTCAGTCTAAAACTTCAGAGGTTTTTTTATTCTATTTTATTCAATAAACTACAATTTCATTACACATATAATATTTGTTTATTTGTTGTTTATTTGTTATACTTTTTATATATATATACTTAATCATTTGTAAGCTGTATAGAGCTTCATTATATTTTTTGGGGCAATGGTAAGGCTCCGACGCTGCCGTACTAGAAAAGATAGTGGCAAACTGAGATACAATTCTGAATAAAATTTGAATGCACCTTCTAAACTAATAAAACTGGAAAGTTCAATTGATTCACACAATATCGAATCAACAATGGCAATATTTTCTTTTCCGTATGCACCCCTGTGATTATTATACATAACCAAAGCTAAACTTCTAAAGTTTGAAGAAACTGATGAGGGGTTAACCTGGACTGGATTCCCAATATTAATTATTTCGCTGTGGCATAAATTGAAATATTTTAATGTAGGGACCAATTCATGTACATTTAATGAAGGAAGAATTTCAATTAAATATTCCTTGCAGAGATTGACCTTTTCGGATTTGTCATTATACAAAATAGGTAAAAATCTGATAATATTAATTGAACGGCATTTACCACTAATAAAAAAAAATAGAGATAAAATAATATAACTGATATTTTCTTGAATTTTACTCTGTTTACGCTTTTGTTTTGATTTAAGCTTTTCCAAAAGTCCCAAAGAGTCAATAAATATACAGTCTATAATGTCTTGGAATCCATCGATTTTGCTATTTGAAATGTTATCTTTTATTTCTTTTTCAAATTTATAGAAATTTGAGATCATTTCTTCAACTTTAATAAAGTTGATTTCTAAACCAGAAATGACATTTACAAGACTTGAGATAAAATTTTCAAGAGTATGGATATTTGAAAAATTATTACTATAATTTTTATCAAGAGCATTATAATTATTATTATTTTTATTATTATTAATAATTTTGTTGATGTTGTAGTTTTGGTTCTTTATTTTATTTTTGGTTGAAAAAAAGAAGGCCATTATTAAAGCTAAAAAAAAACTAATTAAGATGAAAACTAATGAGGAACTGGAAATAATTATAAAATTATTCATTTTAAATTAATCAGTATTATATATTGGATTGAGAATGATTATTGTAAATGGTGTTTTGATTATTCTTTATAAAATATATTAATGAAAAAAATTATAATATATAATATTTTTATGATTGAGTTTTGTTAATTAAAAAATTATTTAATAAATAAAAAAATTTAAAAAATAAAATAAAAATAAAAAATTTTTAAAACAAATATTAAAATTTTTTATTTTTTAAAAATAATTAAAATTGATTTAATTGTTTTTTTATTCTTTTTTTTTTATGAAAATATTTCTTTTTAATGAATTTTAAAAAAATTGGAGGTGGGTGGATTATATACCAATTGATAATTAAAATAGGAGTAAAATGATATAAGCTTTATAATGTTGGTCCATGATTTTTTGACCACTTCCTTCAATTAGAATTGTGTAAAGATTAATTTTAATTTACTTTTGTTTTATTATAGTTATTTAATTTTGGTGTTAATGAGGACTTTTGTATAAATTGCTAACCACTAATATTTAATTTTAATGCGGACCACCAAAACAGATATTTCATCACCAAAAATAAATATCCTCATTGGTGTAGTCGGTAACACTCTAGTCTTTCACACTGGTACCTCGGGTTCGATTCCCGAATGGGGAGCTTTTTTTATTGAAAATCTTTCCAGAGATTTATGTAATGTAATCATGTAAGGTACTAAGATCAAATAATTACAATAAAAGAACTCCATCAACTTCATTCACAACAAACCATGTAGGCTATGTAATGAAAATCTTAATAATGATCCATATGGATCATTATTTTATTTTTCAAATGTAAAAAAACTCTGAAATTCATCAACTTCAATAAACTAAAATCATTTATATTCATTACTTCGGGAAGGGGCCTCAATTGGTCACTGGACATAACAAGATCAAGAAGGAATATATCAATAAAAAATATTACATACAAAATCCCAGAAGGTCGCAAATCCGATGGAGAAATAAATATGGATTACAACAACACCAGATTTCACAAATCACACTTCCAATGGAACTATAAAGCAATAGATTTCGACTTAACTAGATGTTTTGCTTATAGAAATGCCATAGCCCTGGTATTTCATCAAGTTTGGATTTGGTTATGTAAAGAATTATATGACGATCAAGAAAATACAATAAAAGAACTCGATTATAAGAATCTAACCTCAAAATGGACTAAACTAGCTACTTTAGAATACTTAAAAGGTTTAAAAAACATCAAGGAAAGACACGCTAAACAACCACAAACAATTAGCAACATCAATGAAGAATATAGAAAATCCAAAAGAAGAATAGCAAGAGCATACTTCATCAGCACCAAATCTTTACCAAATATCAACAGTTTAGAATATTTTCTTTAAAAACTTTATAAAAAAACATTAAATAAAATTTTACTGATTAATTTAAAGCATTTGCTTTTAATTATCTTCACTTTTAAAAAAAAAAAAAAAAATAATTAAATAAAATAAAATTTATATGAAATATTTATGTTTTTGTAAAATTCGAAAAATAAAAAGTTTTTATTATTTTTATTTTTTTATTTTTTTAAAATTTCTTTTTTGATGAATTAAATTCTACTGATTAATTTAAAGCATTTGCTTTTAATTATCTTCTGAAATTGCTATTATTATTTGATCCAACTGGGGAAGATTCTACACTAATGAGTCGGATTATATACCACTTGATACAAATTTATAAAGATCAGAGGTTGATGAGACTACCAGATACAAAAGACAATAATATCGAGAATTTGCACAGCTTGGAGAAACAGACTCGATTCTTCTAATTTTGATAAAAAAAATGATTCACTACTGCTGGAATATGGTTTTGAGTGTAATTGTTGATGGTTGTAAAGGGTATTTATACTGCTGGAATATGATTTTGAGTGTGATTGCTGATGGTTGTAAAGGGTGTTTATACTGCTGGAATACGATTTTGAGTGTGATTGTTGATAGTTGTAAAGGGTGTTTATACTGCTGGAATATGTGATTGTTGATGGTTGTAGAGGGTATTTATACTGCTGGAAAACGGTTCTGAATGAATTGTGATTATCATTAAAGGGAAAAGTGAATCTGGTTTTTGGTTCTGATTAAGTTGGAGATTGTCGTGAACTTTGTTTTCGAATTTTGATCTTAACTTTAGATTAGAAACTTTGGACGTATTGATATTGAGGAATAAAGAATTGGAATTAGGCTAAATAAGAATTAAAGTTAAATATTAGTTTCTTTTATTTTTAAATATATGAATTATTTTAATGTTATTATTATAGTTACCTTTTTGAATTTCTATATTAATATTTGGAACTGGAACTTTAATATTATTATAAATTTACTTTGCTTCTTTTTGTAGAGCTGAACAATATGATGATATATTTATTATTAAAATATTGATAATGATTTGACTATTTAGAACTACTTGGACAAATTTTCGGATGATGTATATAAATGTAATTGTAATCAATAAATGAAACTAGGAATGAAACGAGTTAATTAATAATAAGGACTTCATCATATTCGTTTTAAAGAAACTTTGAATAAAGTACGTAAATTATTAATTTAATCGCCCCCAATTTCATTATTAATCCATATTTATATAAGCATCAAATATTGGTTCGTAAATATTGTGAACAAAACGACGACGCAATAAATGGTGATAAAATTGCTCCATGTTATCACTGGATTCATCATCGGAATCATTATCATTATCATTTTCATTTTCATTTTCAAAATTATCGGAATCATCAATGAAATTGTAATCTAATTCTTGTTCATGGGCTCTATTTTCAACATCGCCTACTACTATTGGATCATGACCGACTCTCTACAGTTATAAAATGAAAAAAAATTAATATATATTTTTTTATTTATTAAATAAATGTATGAATTTACTTACTTTAATTGTATAGAATCTTGCTCTACATAATGGGCAAGTATTTTTAATTTTATGCCATGTATCCATGCAATCAAAACAGAATTTGTGATTGCAATCAATGGTGGCGATGCTATTAGTCTCCATATCTTCCATGCAAACGTAACATTTATTATCTTCTTGTTGTTGTTTTTTTTTCAAAGCTAATTTGGATTTTGCATCTTTTAATTTTAAATTAAGTTCAAGAATTTGTTTTTTGGCAACTTTTTTTATTTCTTCTAATTGCTCCGATGCATTGGTTAATTTTGACTCGGCATGTACTCTAAGGTCATTAAAATTTTTAACTTGAACTTGGATTTGATTATAAAGTTGTGAGTTTGATTCCTCAAGTTCCAAAGTTTTCTAAATTGAAAATAAAAAAAATTAATCATAAGATATTAGTAAAATGAAATTATGATGATGTGTAAAAAATTATTTATAATATTAATTAACAATATTTAATTATTAATTATTAATAATAATAATTATTTTTAATAAAATATTTACCTTTTTAAATTGTTCATTTTCTTCCAAAGCTTTTCTTAATTTTAATGAATCTGGTACTGCTAAAGGTTGCTTTAGTACCTCTTCCATTTTTTTTTCATAATCCAATAGCAAATCTTTTAGTTTTGAAGATTTGATTTGTTTTTTTTTCAATTTTATTTGAATTTCCTCATTTTCTTTTGCTAGAATAGCTTTTTCTTCGGAAATCTAAATATTTTTAAAAAATAAATATTAATAAATTATAAAATATAGTTTTATGTTAAATGAAACTTACCTTTAAATTAATTTCATTTTTTTGATTTTCCAAGAGACGATCTACATCCTCTTTAGTAAACATTCCATTATTATTGGTTTGTTGTTGTTGTGGATAGTAATAATATTTGAGGATGATTGTGGTTATGAGGGAATTAAATACAGAATAAACAAAAATAAAAAAAACAATAACTAAATTATCTAAACTAAACATTTTATTATGATTGCTATTAAAAAAGAAGTGATGGTGATTAAATAAATATATATACAAAAAAAATTTAAATAAAATTTATTTACAAACAAAAAATATAAAATTATTAACAAAAAAAAAAAAAACAAATAATTAAATAAACTATAATAAATTATAATAAATAAAATATGATTGTGGAAATGTAAAAATTAAAGATATACTGAACACAAAAAAAATTGTAGTTTGTAAGTTTTAATTTTTATTGAAATAAAAAAAATTATAATATGAATAAGAAAAAAAAAAAAAGAAAATATAACAAAATAATTAAAAAAAAAATTAAAAAAAAAAAAATTAATAAAAATTAAAACAATACTATAATGTTTAATTTATAATTTTTATAGGTACACATATTTTTTTTCATTTACCTTTTTTTAATTTAAATTAAGTATTTTAATTAAATATTTTTATTCTCTCTCTGATATTTGAAATATCTACTACACTTTTGATTGTTAAAAGAATTTGTTTTTTAAAAAAAAAAATAAAAAAAAATTAAATAGAACTGAATTTAATATTTTAATGATTTATAAATAAATAAAATAAAAAAATACATTTTAATAAAAAAAAAAAAAAGAATTACAGTAATAGAGATATTAAAATAATGAAAAAAAAGTTAAAATGTGGTACTTTTTTTAAAACTAATATTTATTTATTTTTTTTTTTAAAAATAATTAAAATTCTTTAAACAGACAGCTTATTAATAAAAATAATTTATATTAGTTTTTTACCTATATATGTATTGATTTATTTGAATGTTTTTTTATTTAATATTAAAACATCCCAAAAAAAATTTAAAACCATAAAAAAAAAAGGTGTGGGAAAAAAAAAAAAAAAAATTTTAATATAAACACATAAATACTCATTGCTAAAACATAATGTAATATATTCAAAGTTATTTCTATTGTGTTATTGTGTATTACAATTTTATTTCTTTTGTCTTTTTTTTTTTTTCATTAGATTAAATTCATTTTAAAATAAAAGCTATTAAAATTTTAAAAATTTTTTTATTTTTTTTTTATTTAAATATTTTATAGTGGTTGAAAATTATCTTTAGCGTTATCCTTTTTTGTATCAAATGGGAATATTTAAAAAAAAAAGGATAAAAGGTGGGTAAAAGAAAAAGATAAAAAGGGATAATAATTTTATTAAATCAAATATAGAAATAATATTTGAAATTAATTAATATTTTTTTTTTTTTAAATCTTTTTTTTACAATTAACTTGGTATTCGGGATTTTTTTAAAAGAGAATTTAATGAATTTTTCAAATCAAAATATAGATTTAATAAAAATTCTCAATTTAAAACTAAAAAATAAAATAAAGTCTATATTAAACAATTGTATTTTTTTTTTTAATTTTAATTAATTTTTTTTTTTTTTTATAATTTATAAAAATTTTTTAATTTTTTTTTTTTCATTTATTAAAATTAAAGTTTTCATTCACACACTAGTTTTTTTACATCCAGCTTAATTTTTTTTTTTACATTAAATCATAAAATTTATTTTTTTATTTTTTACACTTATATACATTTTATTTTATTTCAAATAATTATTTATTTTTTAACAAAAATGGATAAATTTTTATTATTATGTATTTCTTTATTTATTGGTTTTGGGGTCATTTTTTTATATTATTTTGGTCCATTCATTTTCAAAAAAAACACCAACATTCAACACGGTTGCCAATGCTCTATTAAAAAGGAAAAGTGCCAATACTGTATCTCCAATGACAATATAGAATACTTGAAACAGCAAGAAAAAGAACGTCAAAGACTTGAAGAGATAAAAAATAGAGCATATCAACAGAGACTTTACCAACAGCAACTTTACCAACAACAACAGGAACAACTATATCAACAACAACTCTATCAACAACAACTCTATCAACAACAACTCTATCAACAACAACAACAACAAAGAGTACAAAGGCTCGAACAACAACAATTATATCAGCAACAACAACAAAGAGTCCAACAACAACAATTATATCAACAACAACAACAACAACAACAAAGACCCCAACAGCAACAAATACTCCAACAACAAAAACAGAGTGCAGCACAAATGATTAATGACCAGATGGTCCCAATGGATATCGATACACCATTGGTAAATACAAGAGGTTTGTCAAATATTCAACCTCATAAATTGAGCCAATCACAAATGGCAGAGATACGTTTAAATGAACGTATACATTTATACGGTTTAATGATCAGAAGGGAAATTCCAGGTGATGGAAATTGCCAGATGCATGCGCTATCTGATCAAATCTATGGTGACTTGGACCATAGTGCTTTAATTAGAACCGTAATTGTTAATTGGCTTAGAATCAATGGAGGATTTAAACTTCCCAATGGTGCCACCCTATCAGACTTTGTCTTTGATGCAAGTTGGGAAGAATATTGCAACAATATGTCAAAAAATGGTACATGGGGTGATCATTTAACATTAGTCGCAGCAGCTGAAATCTTTAAAATTAATATTACAATTATATCATCAGTTGCATCTCAAACTGGTTTCTTCATCGAAATTAAACCAAAAGTTAAAAGTGACTATTATGCTTTATTATCCCACATTGCAGAGTTCCATTACGGCTCATTGTGCCAATTGTAAACTCCCCTTCCATAGGTAAATATTTAAATATTTTATTTATTCACTATTTTTTTAAACTATATATTAATTGATATTTTTTACATTAAATTCAGCCATTTAAATATTTATAATCAAATGTCCCTAGATTTATTGCTGGTTGTTGTCTTTTTATAGATTCCGTTGGTAATTGTAACTTAGAAAAAAATTATAGTTGATGAAATTAGTTGTATAGAGTTGTTGATCCACGTACTGGTGAATCAGTTCAAGTAGTTAATGGTCTTCAAGGTGTTAAAAGAGTCAATTTTAAACAAATTTTAAAGCTAATGGTTGTACAATTAAAACCTGTTAATCTTGAATATGTTGCTGTTCCATATCAAGGTATTTGTGTTCAATTAGCTATTCCACTTGCCAGTAACGGTCGTTAAACCAGTGTTCCATGTATTGAAATTGGAAGTCAATTATGCGATATTGATCTTTTACAATTTAATAGCCCCATTGTTGCTACTGGTTTAGAAGATAGTAACAAACGTTTTATATAATTCCCGATAGAAGTATCAAACTATCGAAAATTTATATCCAAAACCCACCACAATTAAGTTAGAGTATTAGTAAGTCCAATGTTCAACAAAAAGTAACTTATAAATCAACACAAGTGATGTAGGCATATTTAATACCAAGAAAAATCTACAAGTCTTGCCCAGCTCCTTAGAATTAACTCCAGAAAGAATCCAATCAAAATTATTTCAATCACTAGAAAACTTGATATAGCTCTTTTTAACGTTGGCCAGTTAAAATCAGCATATTATCATTATTGAATGCTCTCAAATATATAGATGTAGAACCACCAACACCAAGAGAAAGTACAAAGCCAAAACAATTTTAGAATATTGGTTAAAGCTACTAATAATCAAAATATCTTTATTTCAATTTAGAAATGTTGGAAATGAGAGAAGAAATGCTTTGTCTTTTTATTCAAAGTATAATTGCATTTAGTGATTGTTCAAAAACATTAGATTTCTGGTGTTCTTATATTTCACTTCAATTATCACCCAATCTAAAAAGGTACTTTCCTGATTGGAATTTATAATCCGAAGGTTATTCTAATGGTATTCACCCACTTGGTAATAATGGTAACCAATCAACAAGTATATGTTTATTTTAGATCCAACAACATCAAAAAATTAATTATTTTTAGTAGACAAGAAACATAATACAAAAGAATTAGAAGAATTCCATTCAGCTTATTCGGGAAAATTAGTTGAACTAGATTAGGTTTAAATGTTTGAAACATTTTGGCAAAAAATAGGTTCTCATGTAGTAGCATGTATGGATTGTCAACAATCAAAGAAAACAAGTGTGGTATGTTAAATCCACCTTAAGTTTCGGAATTACATGAGACAATGGCAATGGATTTAAAGAATTTGCCAAAAACAAAAAATACAATCGATAGTGTATTCGTAATTACATATAGGTTCATTATAATAAGAATAGAAAAGAATTAAAAATCAATGAATATTGTTTAGTACTAAATCCAATTTAAAAATATAGTATCACAGGATCAATACAATATTTCAAGTTTTAAAAAAAAAATAAATATAAAAATTTAATACCCCTACATCAATATAAATATAAAATAATATTATTTTCATTTAAATTAATAAAAACCTCGACTAATACAAAAGGTCGAATTATTGTTTTTTTTTACAATGCTTTTTAATCTTTCGTTTTTTTTTTTTTTTTCATTCTGAATAATATTAATAATAATCTTTTTTTCTTATAAGTAATAGGTTTAAAGTGATCCGAAACTTGTTTTTTTTTAAAAATGAGGATTTTTATTTAATGTTTTTTTTATTATAAAGTTTTTAAAAGAAAATATTCTAAACTATTGATATTTGGAATTGATTTTGTGCTTCTCTTGCTCTTCTTTTGAGTATTATTCCTTGGCAATTGAGTATGGGTTTGATGGTACTACTTATTTCCTGTCGATCGAATTTCTTTCTATTTGCTCTTATTTGAACTTTTCTTGAACTGAGTACTATTCCACCTTTTTTGCTGATTGTACTGCTTTTTCATTTTATTATTTCGAATCTGAATCTATTTAGTGTTATGTGAATTTGGCATACGTACTTCCATTTTCTCCTTTTATACAATCTGTCACCTATACCTGCAATGTTTTCTAATATGTCATGGAAATCTTTGTATCTGATGTTGTCTGTGATGCTATTATTATATGACATGATTGTTTAATTTTTCCCCA